GGNGGGGGGGGGTTGCGACGTCTCATGACTCCATTGCGTGAGAGTTGGCAATCATATACATTTCAGTGACGATGTAAATGAGTAGTATTACTCGATGTAATAATTCATATATACACACATCAGTATTTCAAATGAATTCATACAATTATGAATGTGCCATTTTTTTTAATCATCGAACGAACAAGGTGCTAACACGTCACCCACATATATATCGATATATGTATATGTATGTATGTATGGGGGTGCGTGGTGTTCAATTTCTCCTCCATGTATTATTCTCTTTATCCATTTCATTCTATCTCTCTTTTCCACTCTATCACTGGGGTGGGAAATTCAATATCGCATTTAGCATCTATCAATCCCCTCGAACAAGTAACGACAAAAGGGTCCTCCACGGCTGTAGTAAGTTTCGGATTTATCGATCTCCCCTCCCCCCTCCCCCCCCTCTCGAAGCCTAGATGACCGATGTGGTAGCCTCGACGGAGGCTTACACCAAAGCCCTCCTACACTGCTATAAATACCCTTCTCAGGCGGTCCTGGGCTTTCTGGTAGGGAAGCACACGGGGGCTGGGAATGCGCAGCGCTACGTCAGCGACGTCTACCCGCTTTTTCACTCGATTCCAATGGGGTCGCCGCACCCGATGCTCGAGGTGGCCTACGCGCACTGCGAGTCCTCCGCGAAGACCCATGGCCTTTCCCTCCTCGGCGTCTACCTCGCGAACGAGCGGCGGACCGATCGCGTGCTCTCCCCCCTTCAAACGCAGCCGCTTCTTCGGTATTTTTCCTCTCGCTTGGACAGCGCGGTGTTGGTGTGGTTTATTGACAACGACAGCCTGACGGGGCCCCCGACGGGGCGCTCGATCACGGCGTTTGAGTACTCGGCCGGGGGCGGGGCGTCGGTCGGGTCGCCGGTGCCGCGGCCGAGCGAAATGCCCCCCGCGGCGTGGCTGTCTTTTGGGGAGTGGAACTCCGATACGCTGTCGGCGGATAAGCCCGTCAGCGAGGAGGCCGCGCTGGAGTCCGTCAACAACGCGCTCGAGGCTTTTGCCCAGTTCAAGCTGGCGGACTTCGAGGACCACCTGGAGGATCCGCGGCTGGATTATATCGGCCAGCCCTTGTCTTCTCTGATGAATCGTAAGTAAGGCGAGTTGCGCGGGTGTGAATGCGTAAGAAAGGAGGGTGTGGTGTTAATAATTTCATTGTCAGGGGTCGAGTAGGAAGGGAAAAAAAAAAGTGATCGATGCGAAGTTTGCATAGCGAGCGTAGACGGACAAGCATAAGTCACCTTGAGCGCATAACGTTATGAACATATATATATATATATATATATATATATATATATATATATATATGGATATATAGGATATGCATTTAATGAATAAGTGGACCCGTCTTTTTCCAAAAAGAAAATTAAACTAATAGAATATAAACAAAATCAGGTTAGGAAAAGGAAACTTGACTTAAATGCGACGCTCTAATCTCCAGCGTTCATTCTTTTCGTCACTTGTACCGGTTTTACATCCTTTCTTGCTCTTCTTTTCTCTCATTGTTCTTTCGTGCGAACCTTGGGTCCTTACGGCTAGTATACTTATATCTATACAGGTAGAATTTTTTCTCCTCAGATCGTTTTAGACTAGTTGCTGTTGCTGCAACGAACTCTCTGCTACCGATTATTTTTCTGCTTTTTTGTGTATCTAAAAGTTTATATTCATCGATTTGAATTTAAAGATAACACATATATACATTCCTGAGACAACAACAAAAAGCTTTATCTGAGTTGGATTCTGTACGGCGGTGGGATTAGTATTTTTATTGTTAATATTTATTCAGTTTTAAGATAAGGAGTTCTTTAGAAAGGAGCACCAGAATTTGAAGGGTTGTGAATACTTTTTGCTTTCGACTTTACACACTTATAAATAAGCAAATAAATAAATAAATATATATACATATATATATATATATATTTATATATATTTATATTACTGTTATCAGTGTCATCGTAATATATATATATATATACATATACATATATATATTTATTTATATTATATTCATTTTCACTTTTAAATCTTTATTGTGTATACCCATTTACAACACCAAAGCGAATTAACCATTCACATTCTACAATAAAAACTACAGATATATACAAGCAAATACATCCCCAGGATAGTATAATATAAATAAAATAATAGTAACAAGAGCAATCACACAATACTGTTACTACTTTTTGTCTCCTCATATCCAAATTAGCGAATTAAGCTCACAAAAGTGGAGACTAAACAGGCCTACTAAGAACGAATTATTGGGCTTGAATCCCCCATCACAAAAGGGAAAAAAGAATCCATACTGATCATACCATCGTCTTCCTAGTGAAGAGGAAAGGCGTCTATTCACTAACAAAGGAATAGACGAGACAAACGAAGCATTGTAGATTACACCTCAGGAGTTACCAGGCGGCGAGATAAGCAATAGACCATTGTGAAGGGTTTGAGTATATTGCCAGCGATCTCACAAACTTAGCAACTAGTTCAATGAGCTCAGGTGACCTTCCTCACTCGAGCGAAGGCAACGCCGACTCGTCGCTCAATTTCAACGAGCTTGGCATGACCGCGGCGGTGGCGTTTGGGATTCCCCGGGTGAATGCGATCCGTCAGCAGCGTCAAAGCCTCAACATCCAGGTGAGCCGGGGCAGCCCCAACCGCGGCAACTACCTCGACACCATCATCAACATGTACAACCATTCCCACATAGAGACCGCGCGGGGTCTGACCAACTCGCGCCAAATCCAGGTCGTCGGCGGGGCGACGCCTGGGATGCCGTTGTATCTCACCAACGGCAATAGACCCAGCCACGCGAACGCCATCGTGCGGGACTCGCCGATCCCCCTTCCCGCGGTGTGCGGGGCGCCGTGCGTGGTGTACTACACGCAGCTCCTGCGCGATGTCCGGCTGCGGATCCTGCACGTCCCGGCGCTTGTCCGGCAGATGTTGGCCGACGAGAGCCTCTTCGCGCTGGTGGACCACCTGCCCTCGCCGCTCTTCGGCGACGCCCTGCGGGACGCCTATAGTAATTGGTGGGTGCACTGCGCCCGGCTGGTGCTGAACGCCGAGCTGGCGAGGCTGAAGATCGTGGGGGCCCCGCCGGAGGGGCTCCCAGCTGGGGAGGAAGGGGCGGGCTTGACCACCGCCCTCGGGTCCTATCCCGCGGCCTCCAAGGAGGCCGCCCAGTACGAGGACATCCGCCGCGTCCTGACCCTGGCGGTGACCTTCAACGCCTCCTACCGCGTGACGCGCCCCTTCGGCCTGTACAACGTCTTCTGCACGAGCCACCTCATCCTGTCCCGGGACCCCGCCGTGATGTACCTCGGGCTCCTCCTCAACGGGGCCCACCGGAGCCTCCACACGAAGGACGCCCGGGAGCGCCCGGTCCTGGAGGCGATCGCCTACGGCTGGCGGGGCCCGGTGGGCCTGCGGGACCTCGTGGCGAGCGCCTGGGGGGTTTATAAGGCCCGCAAGGAGGGGCTCCGCCGGCGCCGCCGCGGCGAGGCCGGGGCCTCGCTCGTGGGGCTTCCCCCGTGGCAGGTCGTGCTCGAGACGCCGCGCGAGGTCCTGCAGGAGGACGCCTTCGCGACCTCGTTGGAGGATCCGGCCCGGCAGAACCCGCGGTCCGTGGTATTGCTCCGCATGGATAGCGTCGAGGACGACGGCGAGGCCTCCCCGACGGCCGCGGTGGACTCCGCGCTGTGGAACTTGTGGTGGGCTCGCAATAGGCTGCTTTGCTTCGTCAAGATCACGGCGGCCGGGCAGCATCGCATCACCGCGTCGGACGCGCTGAGCTTTTTCAACGCCATCTGGGACTGCGAGGAGGTTTTCCTCGAGATTCTTCAGGACCAGGCGCTGGAGCGCCCGACGCCGGACAGCGACGACGCCGAGCAGGCGGAATGGCGGGAGATCCAGGAGCTGTACGCCTGCCTTATCGGGACCATCGCCGACGTTTCGCATTTTTGGCAGGCCTGCCACTCCGAGACCTACGATTCGAATAACTGCCTTCAGCTGCCGGCGGTGAACACGATTTGGAATGTCGTCAACCTGGAGGCCCCGCGGAACCCGCGTTTCCTGCGCAAGAACTTCCGCAATTACGAGGAGTATTGGCAATATACACAGCTTATCGATGACCACATCACGCAGGTGGTGGCTCTTAACCCTTCGAATACCGGGCAGTCGGCCGTCGTGCAGCTTGTGCAGCTGCTGAAGCGCGAGCCGCGCTATTACCCAGGCCTGATCATTCAAACCTTAGCTTCGGTGTACGCCAATGGGCTCACCACGGTGGCGCTTAATGCGGGACTCATCGATGGTATCGTGCATTGTTTAATATACCACATCTCGCGTCTGCTACCGGGCGATCAACCCCCATTCCAGAAGTATACCAGCGCGTCGGAGAGGGCGGTAGATGGGCGTGAGGCGTCGGCCCCGCCTGACGAGCCCGCCCCGCGCGACCCCCTCCTGGCCGATGCCAGTCCGATCGCCGAAGACGCGTCCCTCGTCGAGGTCAGGACTCCTCAGGACGAGTTGGCGAACTCCGAGGAGCCGCTGCTGTCGATATTTATTTCCGAGCTCGATCGAGGGGAGGCCGCGGGGCGGGCGAGTGGGTATCCCCTGGAGTCCCCCCTTAGCGTCGCCGTGGACGCCGCGGCCTCGGCCGAGGAGGCGATTCCGTACGAGGTCCGAGATAGCCGCAGCCTTGCGGAGGAGCAGGGGCTTCTGCGCAAGTGCACCCACGCGGTCGATCTAGACACCTACACCACCTTGATGTGCGCGATGGAGATGTTGAGGTCGTGCGTGTTGAACGTCGTGCACCCCTCCGTGAACCCCGTGCAGTTTCTGCTCACCCCTTACGATAGAATAGCCCACCCCGAGCGCCCGGCGGCGGGCGGGGGGGGCCCCGGGCCGGGCCGGAAGGGGCCCCGAACAGCGGCAAAGTCGATTTGTGTTCGCTTCTCCACGGGGTGATACGGCAGACGCGCTACGGCTCGCTCGCCACGAGCGCCCTTTCGCTGCTGGCGGCCTGCACCCACCACAGCCTGCGCGATATCGTCCCCGCGCTGGTGGAGCGGGGGATCCCGCAGACGGTCCTGGACATCGCCTATCGCCCCCTGCCCTCGCCCGCGGGGGAGCCGCACGAGGGCGCCGGCGAAGGGGACGCCCGCGAGGCCGTCGGGCCGGCCCGGAATGCGGCCCCCACGCCTTCCCCCACGAACGATCGCGCCGGCGACGTCGAGAAGGCGGAAGAAGAAGAAGAAGAGGAGGAGGAGGAGGGGGACGCGACGGATCTCTTCCATTACCCCCACGAGAGCGCGTACTTGAACGCGGTGCTGCCGAAGCTGGCGCTGCCGCTTCTGGTGCAGGCGCTGACCGTCCACAACGCGACGAATGCGATTTTCGCCCAGCACGGGGGTTGGATTGCCGGGTTTTTGGCCGCGCTGCGGATGCCGGCCCGGCATGGCGTGGCCTTCCAGGCGAGCGGCGTGCGCTACGCCAAGTACGTCGCGACGACGGCGGCGGGGCGGGAGGGGAATTGGCTGGCGCTCTTTCTCGACGCGGCGCCGTCGCCGCGGCCGCGCGGGGCCTTCCCTCTCGACGCCCAGATGGAGGTGGTGCGGGTTGAGTACTACCAGGTCCACCTGCACTATTACTACCAGCTCCTGAGCACGGCCGCGCGGGACTTTTTGCAGGCCCTGCGGACCTGCCCCGGCCTCATCGCCGGCTTCCGCGATACGGTGGAGGGGGTTTTGGCCGGGCTCTACGCCGAGCTCCCGCGGCTCTCCGACGCCGCCGCGGGCCCGGCGCTCACGACGGCCGAGGTCGCGGCGACGTTGCTGACCACCCTCAACTTCATCCGCCTCATTAACGCCGGCGAGTTCCACACGCCGCGCAATCTCGCGATGTTCTCGAACTTCCCCAAGGACCACCCGAACTTCAGGCTGCTCGACGTCGCGACGACGTCGGTCTTGCCGCGCGTCAGCCAATTGCTTCGCTGGGTCTTCGACGTCGTCCTTCGCAGCGATTGGGCGGTGCGGGAAGGGGGGAGCGAGG